TGCACAAATAAAACTGACGATGGAAAACCAGTAGGAGCAAAGGAGCATGGGACACAACATGGTTGGTCTGCTTTGTCGCTCTCCTAAAAGAGGGGAGAAAAGCTGTATACGCTACATTGCTTATAGTTTATATATATAGACAGAGCAGAGGTTAAAATACCATTTTAAAAGTAATTTTCCACACATGAGATAGAGAAAGAGGAGTTATATTTGGTTGGTTGTGTTGCTTTTTGTTTTCCCTTTTTCATATATGACACAGATTTTAATAAGCTTTAGTTAATTGCTTCTGAAGGGCTCTTGCTGGAACCAATCCCTTTAAGAACGTAACAGGTATATGATTTTTTGTAAACATAAAACAATTTATTCCCAATGTGTTCCCCAGCTGCATTCTTCTGAGGCACTGGAATATGAAGAAGACTGGCAGAAATTAGCATAGGAGAGCAGTCCATAGGAAAGGAGTCTCTGTGGGAGCTGTGCAAGTGAGCACACAAAGCTCAAAGTTTTGATAGGAGAACAGAGAAGACATGCAAAAATAAGGTAAGAAAAAGATCCTTGATGGCAGAAAGAGAATGGTGCAAATCTCCAAACTCAGCAAGAAGCTTGGAAACAGTGACATGTCATTGCCCTGTTCTTTCCCTCTGCACTTCAATTCCTTAGTTTATTCTGGTGTGACAATTGCAGCTTCAGTCTTCTCAAATTAATCAACAAGTCTATTGCTCAAAAAGAACATCAAACTGATTGTTAGAGCTAAATGGTGGTTTGTCAGGTTGCCAGAATGACTCTTTAGAGGAAATACATTATTACAATATTAGCAAGTCCATTAATGTTGCAAGTAGCACAGGCATTCATTGTCCCATGTCAGTGGTGCACACCTACTCTTGGGATGAGGGATTAACTACTGCTGTAACTATCCTACTTCACTTCCCTGGGCTTTCAAACATTCTCCCACAGGCACACACAAACTCTGCTAATTCTTCCCTGTTTTGCCGTCAAATGCCAAAGCCTCAATTAAGATCAGAGCCCCAGCGATCAAGACACAATCCTTGCCTCAGAGAGGTTAAATAGCCAAGACTGGTAAATGGCAGGAGAAATAATGGGGGAAGCTGGAGATAAAGTTGCTTGCCCAGGGTCACAGAGCAGGCCAGGAATAGAATCCCTATCTCCTCTTCCCTTCTGAACAAGTTGCCTTTTTTCTCACCTTTGGCTGAACTTTCTTCTTTCCTTCTTCTTCTCAGATATGAATAATTCATTCTCCAGCTCTTAGGTCAAGATTTCTGTTCACATATGATAACATTAACCAGATAAGAAGTTTTATGCTACCATATTAAAAATACTAAAAAGCATGGTAAAATCAAAACTTTTCAGCTAAGAGCATTGCTGCTGGTTTCTTTATCCATATGCATTTAGAATTGTTTCTATTTTACTGATACTGGTGTAATTAATTCTCTCTCTGCCTGCCCATGGCAAGGATTTAATTTCTGCAATTCATGGCTTGGAACATGAAGAAATTCTGCATTCAGATTAGCTGCAGCACTTCCTTTGCCCCCTAAGTATTTTGAGTTTGTAGAGATTATTCAAATGTGATAACAAAATTCAGTGAAGGCAAACTCTGAATTTTGCTGCTAATAAGAATTCATCACTTTTACATGCAAGACTGGACCACCCATCCAAATGACTTAGAGCCCAAAAGAAATTCTAACCAGTGACTTGCTCTAGATAAACAAAATTGTTGTCTTGTCATTAACTAGACTAAGTTACTGCATTGAATAAAATTCACCAATTTGATGTCTGGAAGTGCTAGATACAGCTCCTAACTGTGTTAATAAATTGACATTTTTAAAATGGAGGTTGTCCATTGCTCAATTACCCTAAATCAGTTTGTCAAAGAGAGTGTCCTTTAGCTATCTTCTATTAATTACAGTATAAAACACAAAGTAGTTGTAAATAACATGTCCCAAGACTTTAATAGAAATGTTGGCCACATTATCTTCTGTCATTCTACTTGAACTCCACACCTAAATTCTTTACTTTCCTGGTTACATTTTCTTTGGGGGGTACAATAAAAACTACTGCATAATTTTAAATCACCCGTATCAATAAGGAGACCATGTGATTATTACTAAGGAAATAAAAGGCTACAGTGGACAGTGAGGATGAATAACAGCAACAGTGTATCCCTTTCCATTGACTAAACTGATGGAGCACATCTCCCACAGCAAAAATTGAAATTTCTGGGCAGAGTAGCCCCTCTTATCCAGCCATCAGCCTCCAGTGAAAACTGCAGGATTTTGGGATTCCTTTGCCTAAATGTCACGACCCTTTACACAGAGGTTGGTGTGAGTGCAGGTCATATATAACAACCCTCCAACACTGATGCAAATTACATCACCTAACTTTAGATCCTGGAATACACCACACCAAGTAGTTCTTAATAGTGTACTTTATATAATAAAATTTCAATGTAGCATAAGGTTGCAGCCCCGTGAAGGACAAACAGGAGCATTGCTATAGCAACTGTATGAAACTGCTCTAAGTGAGCTGGATGGGAGTGAGAATGATGCATGAGGCGCCTCCCAGGAAGAAGCCTGGCTGCTGAAGGCTGGTTTCAATGCACCAGCTCCAAGGTTGCTCAGTACCCTCTGGATTCCAGGTGATAAAAGAGGAGACAAACTCCAGACAAACGGGGGGCTGTCCCTTAGTGAGTACAGCAGGTGGGGTGGCACAGCTCTGTTAGGGTGCAGTTCAATGCTGTGCCAAGTCAGGGGATAAATTCCTGGGTTCCAAAAAAAGGGGCAGGTTTCCCCAGATAAAGAGTAATTCTTGTTCGCAAACAATTTTGCTTATAACAAATCCTCTGTCAAAAAGAGAAGAGAAACACAGAAAAAATAAAGCCACAAACCCAAAGAAACACAGATCTTCGAGCTGAACAGCGACTTTACTGAGTAACATGTTATAAATTGCCATGGGTGTGAGTGCAGGGTTGGACACAATGACTTCTGGAGATACTTTAGAGTCTACATCATTCCGTGGTTCTATATAAGCTGCATCTTTGGCCTCACATCCAGAGCTTGCCTTGCCCTTAATTCAGGCCCACGTATTACTTCCCTTCAAGAGAAAACGAATGGAAAAGGGTTTTGAAGGCAGAAAACTCCCACTATTTGCTCATGTTTAAATTAGCTGAATTTTCAAATGGGAAGCAGAGAGAGAATATGATTGATTTTTAAAAAAATCTATTTCTAGAAAAGCTCCTGTCATTTTTCTCTAAAAGGAATTTCAGAAAGTGATAGTGGCTATTTCAGTTCCAAGCAAAGAAACGCTTGAGACCTCAGGATTAGAAACACTAAAGAGAGGGTGCTCCTACAGAGAAGAGAGCAGACAGAAAGTGTATGGTTAACTTATTCACCGTTCACACACATTGGACATAGAACTTAAAAGAATAAATAATCCATGCAGCCTTAATGTCATTACATATCCTTAATCTAAAAGTCTCACGTTTTCTGCAATTTTCATTGAATTCAAAACATAAATGCTTCATTTTTGCAATAATTTTCCCTGCTACATTGTCTTTTGAAATCCAATAGCACTGTGAGCAGACAGTACTACTAATTAGTCTGTAGTCATTAGAAGACATGTTGAAAGACGGACTAGCAATAAAATCAAAACATAGAACCATATTACTATAATAACTATTTATGCTAATACTATATATAATTGAACTTCTAATGCCAGTTTAAGCTGATAGAATCCTGAGTGCCTTATGTTAACATTATAAAACTAGAAACATCAGGAATTAGATAATAAAGAATAGGTGCTAAATATGACATTTAACCTCGGGGCAGAAAAAAGGTCATGCCAAAATCTTCCTGCAGGTAGAAACTGTGTGTTAAGCACTGAACACACCATTGGCCCTCACCATTTTCAGCACTGTGCTGCCATAGGGGCATGGGACGATGTGCAGCAACCCTTTGCTGTGACCTGTTCCTTACCTTTAAGTGAAGTTTAACAAAAGTGATCCAAGCCAAACAAACTCTTGCCAGCTGGAGAGGAAAGAGGAGAGATCTCAGAATGTCCCCTACCACTACTGGACATCAGCCTGAGTGGCCAAAGTTACAATCAACACTTCTGGCAAATTAATTACTTTGCAACACACAGCAGTGAAGAGAAACAACCATCACACACAGGAAGGACTATGTGAGTATGAGCATTTATTAAATCTCCCAATGAAAGCTGTGAGTTCACATCACTTTTCTGGCAAAGTACTATCCAGGTAGCTGAAAGGAACAGGACTTGCCTCCCATATCAATTGACACAAAAGCACAGTGGCACTGTGCCTTTACATTACTTAAAAATGTTAGAAGGAAACCAATGTTAAATGGTTCAAAAACTGACCTAAGAGCCTCCAAAATATACTTTTTCCTGAAAGCATTTTAAGGAGCATCCAGACTCTCTTTCCACTAATTTCATTTATGCCAGCCAAGAAGACTCAAATGTTTTACTGACTGAAGCACCTTCAAAATCTGACTACTGCTTTACACAGTAAAGTTACTCTTAAGTATGATTCTCTAACTGATTTTTGATCCAAGTATTGCTTACACTCAAAAATTCACTACAGTTTTAACACACTGATTAATTTAAAGAGGCATATCAGAGACATACATAAAACAATTTCTTACCTGTTTTAGAGTAGGTAAATGAAAAGCACATAAAGAGATTTTTTTGGAGTTTGGGTGAGGTTGCAGCAGGACATGAGGATGGACACAACACAAATTTTGGATAACCAGAAGCTATTTGCAAATTTCTAGTTTGATTTATTCCATACTATAGATGAGGATAAATATCAAGGAATGCAGTTTATGTTTCACACCTGCTGTCACAGAACTTGGAAAAACTGATAAACTTTTCTCAGTTTAGTACTACCATAAGGAAATCACATATAAGTTTTGTCTAAACAAACATTTTGCATCTAGAGTAACAAAATAGAAGGAAGACACAGCTCTTACCTCATTCTTAAGGGCCAGAAGGCCCAATGGTGGCCTGCAACTTCTGCAAACAACTTTCTGCCACCTATAAAACTACAAAAATATTTACTATTCACAAAAAAAAGTCACATTCACACCCATCACCAGTCTGAATCCCACTTAATACTAAGCACTCCATTCCAAGTGTGACAGCACCAGTACCTTTAACCCCCAGCCCCAAAATCTGAACTACTTTGAAAACAAACTGAAACTGGTTTATTTCCAGAAACTTCAACTTTATTATTTCTCCACTCTATGAAACAGTTCACATGAATAAACTACAATCTAGTTATATCTTCATAAACAAAGAATTAATTTATGGTAATATAATTAATTCCAACCAGGATATATTTGCAGGAAAAGCATCTCAACTAACTTGATGAAATAAACAGTTGATATTAAAAAGAAAATTACTTGATGTAGTTAGAATTTTATGTGGATAAATTAGACCTAGTCCTTTCTGAAATGTTGACTGAGAACCTAAAGTGAAACAAAGTCAATACATGTCGCGTGCTAATCAAATTACAAGCTGATTAAGTGACAAATCTCAGCTGAAAGTCGAAGCAGAAAATCCTCATCAGGGGAGCAGGGTTTTTAATGGGTTCCTGGAGGCTCTACAGGCTTTTGATAATTCACTTTTTACAATTAGCCACCTGATGGGAAAAAATAACTGTAAAATCTGTAGATGAGACTGAGGAAAAAGTAAGCAAGAAGTACGGTATGTAATGGATGCACAACTGAAAACACCAGTGGAATCCAGAGCAACAGGCACTTTAACACTATTAAATGCAAATACAGGCAAACATTTTGGCACACAATGCTGGGAGAAGAAACCATTCTGAATTACTGTGTCACAGGATACCAGCAGGAACTCCAAAGTGTTTCACTTGTTTACTGTATTTTGTCCTCTGACAGAATGAACTTCAGCTCTTCCATGTTTTTAATTTTAAAAGGCTACTACATGTGTGTGAGAGGGCTCATCTAAATGTACATACATGTACATACAGTAGGATGTTCTTCCTTGGGGTAAGAAATATGGGGAAAGCCTGCTATTTACACAAAAAAATTAACATGTTGCCACAGAGATTTGATTCATTTTTTTTTTTATGGATCCAAGTTCTTCCTTAAGGTGAGGAATTAAATGAAACACTTCTGTGTCATTTCACTCCAATCAGTGTGCTAGAATGAGCAACAACCAGTAATTCCTTCTCTCCAACATGTTCCTGAGGACTAAGAGATTAATTTACAGAAGATACAACCCCAAACATGCTGAAGATGACTAAAACTCCCCATAAGTCAAAATTCTGTTACTTAATTCTCAGTATTTTGCTGTAATTTCAAAATTATTCATCTCTCTTACTATTACACTTGTCTTTAAAATATCTAGTTTGAAGAGGGCCATGGCCAGCATTTTACGCATCTCCAAAACAACCTTTTGCAAAACCCACTAACAAAGAGCAAGCAAAACCATAGCCTATGGGATACCTTGAGACCACGTGCCAGCAGCATGATTACAGTGAATCAGAAATGATGTGCATGCACACTGATTTCTCTCATCAGGTTCAGAAACACTGCAGGCAACCTCTTCTTCACATACTTTGTTTTCAGCATCATATCCTTGTTTATAAATTTCAGCAGTACCGTAACAGATACAATGGAAATTACTTGCTAGCAAAGAAAGTACAAGATTTGTAGAACTAAAAATTAGTTTTCCTTGCAATAGTCAAAAGTTTGGCTTAAAAGCTTCTGTGAAAGGTAACAATTGTCCTTTCTTCAGACAGAACCATTTAATAAATAATAAATCATATCATCATATTCACTGGCACAGGTTGCCAAGAAAGTGTGGATGCCCCATCCCTGGAAGTGTTCCAAAGTTGGGTTAGATGGGCATCTGAGCAACCTGCTCTAGCGGAAGGTGCCCCTGCTCATGGCAGTGAGGTGGGAACTAGATGATCTTAGAGGTCCCTTCCAGCCCAAACCATTCTATGGTCATACTAGCTTAAGAACACAACTAACTATTTTCTTCAGAAAAAGAAGTCAGTTTATTCAGCTGCACAGGTTAAAGAAATGAAGGGGGCTGGGATGGGGGGTGTATCTCAGAAGTTAACCAGAGGTAGAGTCCAGTTTCAGAACTGGAATGTGATACTGTTTCATGTTAGATACAACCCAGTGCCCCTTGCTAATTGCTGTCAAAAAAGCAGACTCTCATTCTCACCCTCTGCCTTCAACCACTTGTTCACAGTCCTCTCCCTACCCTGGGCCTCCTGCCCATGCTCATCTGAGGAAAAAAGCAAATCCAAATAGCAAAACAACCTCCATCATCTTTCTATTAAAAGACACAATCCAGTAATATTTCTCAAGTTATTTAGGGACCCAGAGAGCCACATATATGTTTCCAAACCCAGCCCTTGTTTGTTAAAAATCTGCAATGTTCAAATGAATGACGGGATTCAAACTTGATACTAAATGGCACATATGCCTCAGATATGACTATAGCTATTAGTGTTCGTATCTAATATTCCAGCATCTCCTGTGGTAAATTATTTCCTGTAACTGAGAAGTAATTATCACAAAGTTATTGGGTTATCAGACTTCTAATGATCCTATAATTGCTTTCATTATACAATTGATTTGTCACAAATGCTCATATTACAAATATTATTGACCTCCTGCCACTCCTATAACATAATTAAAGCTGCAGATCAGCTTAACACATTGCCCTCCTGTGCTGCTGAAGACACATCACAGAAGCCACAAAGTACCTGCAGAGTCACTTCTTGGCTCAGCAGCAGCGTGAGACTCAGGGCAGATGTTATTTTGCCATCTATTCTCTGAATTCTTACTTTCTCCATACTTTACCTTAGTGTTTCATACCTTAACTCTGTTTCTTTATTTAGCCACGCTTCATTTACCCCCACTGCATCATATTTCTCTCCATGTACAAAACTTCCTTCCTACTCTGCAGTTTTCCTTAGGATGCTTGCTACGCTTGTGTCAAAACCAAATTAGTTTCTGCTTTCCTTTGCCTGCTATTTTTCTTTTCGATAAAGTAACAGCCCAAATAATTCACTTTCTTTTTTTTTTCTGAGTGTTCGACTTCTGCCTTTTACCACAATTATTTTTCCCATTCATTTCTCTCTGGAGATTTTGCTGAATCTATCTGAAAGTTCAGATGAAGGAAATGCAAGTACCACATCAGTCTTGTTTTAGCAGCACCCCCATCCCAGCCTATTAAGTTTGGTAGATTTAGTGGGGCATTCTTACCTTCCACAAGCTGCTGTTCTGAAACAACAGGACAGCTTTGTGAGTAACCTTTTGAAAATGAGAGCCCTAAAATCTAATATTGTTAATACATTTATTCAAGGTTGCTACTTTCATATAAACCTAACATACAAACCCATCTTTTCCTTGTTTTTCTTGTCTGACAACTGAAGTTTAAGTGATTGAGGATAAAGTGCCTGCAAGCCACGGAGAGTTAATATAATTTACACACTGACTCCTGAAAGTCTATGAGGTCATTAAACTATCCATTTGCCTACATGTCTTTTCCTGCATCTCAGACATGTCCACACTTTAAAAGCCATAGACGATTACAAATGCAGAATGAGGGGGAAAAAAATCATGTTTAACATTATTCTATCCTCTAGAACCAACCCAATATGATTAAGAATTAGGGGACTAGGGAAACATAGTACTATAAAAAAACCAGATGTCCATAACAGTAGAAATCCTGCAGTGTGAGAGTTAAAGAATATCTTTTAGGTTGTAAAAAAGGAAGATAATACCAAGAACAAATAACCAAGAACAAACAAAAAAAAATCTAAAATATACAAACCATTAAAAACCCTAGAGGTAAATTTTGGTCAAAAAAAGTTAAAAATAAGTATTTTAGGGCTTTGACCATTTCTGGCATTTAAATTACTGCATTACTAAATGAAAAGGAAGGGAAAAAACCCCAAAAATTTCTGTAACAAATATATGAATCACTGTTATCTGAATTGAGAAAGAAATATCCAGTAAGTCTCTAAAATATCTCTATTTTTAGGCATAACTCTTGCCTGTGTAGGAATCTGAAAGGCCATGTCAGGAGTAGACTACACCTGATTCCAGGAGCAGAATAACAGCACCAGACTTGCACTGAAGTTACACCAGTGCTGATCAGGGCCAACTTCACTGAAGTCAAGGAAAAGAGAACAAATCTGGCCCTTCACTCAGTAACCACACACCCATTTTCTCACAGGCAATAAGAACATTAAGCAGTTAACATGCAGAGGAATTTTAAAAGGCAAATTTCAGAATCCATACTGTAATTCTCTAATGCCCTTCACATTATGTCACCTTTTAGCTGTTTCCAAGGGTCTCCATAAATTACCAATATTATACTCCAAGAACATCTGGCCAGCTGTGTGATGGTTTATATCAGCAGAGGAGGTCTGCAAACAGGTGGGAAACAGCTGCCTCATTTATCCTGCACACCATTCATTTAGATCACAAAAGTGACAGAAACAATAGGAAAAACACTCTTGTGAAGCAAGAGTTACAATCTCTACCTTAAAAATCAACTTTATTAGTAAGGACAATTGCATGTCCCAAAATATTGTTAATCTGCTTATGAGAGCCACCAATGCCTGAATATATATGGTAGCATTATGGACTTGAGAAGAATAGGAAGCATCTTATCTAGCTCAAGGATTTAGCAGAATACCCTCAAAAGGGACCTAAGTGCCAGGGAACCTCAGCCATGGAATTCAGAACAAACAACACAGAAGATCTGAAGGTAGAGAGGCAAAGTGCTCACATAAAAAATAAAGCTTATGTCACATAAATATTTCTAACTGCAACTGTGCTACCAGTTGCTTAGCAATGTCCTCTGCTCCAACAAAAAATTGTCTTTTGTTCACAACAATTCTCTTCCCAAAGATGTTGATAGATGTACTCAGGTTTTAAAGTCACTTGGCAGGACAGCTGAGCTGATCTAAGAGCTCTTTGCACACCACTGTCTGTCCTACTGCTTGTCTCTCTTCAAATTGCTCCATGCCTGGCTCT